CTGCATGCCCGGCCGCGGGATGCGGGGACGCGCCGGCCGCCGGTACCTTCTCCCGCTGCACCAGCTTCTTGTAGACGGAGTCGGGGAAGGAGCGGAGCGGGCAGAACTTGCCGGTGCCCTCGGCGCACATGAAGACGCCGTTCTCGTAGACGACGCGCCCGCGGCTCACGGTCACCAGCGGCACCCCGTGGCAGCGCATGTTCTCGTAGAGGTTGATGTCCCCCCCCTGCACCTGGGTGCTGGCCGAGATGGTCCTGGGCAGGGGGAGGCACGGGTGAAGCGGGAGCCCCCGGCCCCGCGGCGCGCGGGGACGGGGCGGTCACACGCACTTGGTGGCCTCGGGGTCCCACACGACGACGTCGGCGTCGGCCCCGGGGATGATGCGGCCCTTGCGGGGGTACAGGTTGTGGATCTTGGCCGCGTTGGAGCTGGTGACGGCCACGAAGCGGTTCTCGTCCATCTTGCCCCCGACCTGCAGCGGCAGGGCTGGACATGGCACAGCGCCCCAGCGCATCCCTGGGCGTCCCAGCGCATCCCTGCTGCATCCCCCTGCACCCCTGGGACATCCCCAGCATCTCTGATTCCTCCAGGATATCCCTGGTGCATTCCAGCGCATCCCAATGCATCCCTGGAGCCACGCAGAGCACCACCCTGCATCCCTATGCATCCTGGCGTATCCCCATGCCTCCTGGAGCATCCTGTGCATCCCAGTACATCCCCATGCATCCCAGCACATCCCCATGCCTCCCAGAGCATCCTGTGCATCTCCACGCATCCTGGCACATTCCCATGACTCCTGGAGCATCCAGTGCATCCCCACACATCCTGGCACATCCCCATGCCTCCCGGAGCATCCCGTGCATCCCAGCACATCCCCATCCCTCCCAGAGCATCCCATGCATCCCCATTCATCCCAGCACATCCCCATACCCCTGGAGCATCCTGTGCATCCCGATGCATCCTGGCACATCCCCATGACTCCTGGAGCATCCCAGCACATCCCCATGAATCCCAGCACATTCCCACACCTCCCGGAGCATCCCGTGCATCCCCATGCATCCCAGCACATCCCCATGCCTCCCAGCACTGCCCATCTGCTCCCTGTACCCCAGGTGCCTGCTCCAGCCTCTGGGAGGGAGATGCCCTTGCAAACATGCCCCATGCTCGGATTCTCCCTGGAGAAGCCATGGAAGCCTCCCGGGAGGACCCATGGGAGTGGGGTGGCCCAGCCGGCGCCCCGGCGCGGCACCCACCACGCCGCGCTCCCAGATGATGCTCATGCGGTCCTGGACGCCGCTGACGCCGTGCGGGATCTTGGTGAAGTCCTCCCTGCCCATGGCCTTCTGCTTGGCGCTGAAGGGCCGGTGGTCGGAGGCCACGACGTTGAGCGTGTCACTGCGGGCAGAGAGGACGGTG